TCACAGCACATGCGCACTCTCTCACACACAGCCCTTGCTCAAGGACATTTACAATGAAATCAGAAAAACAAATTAAAATGGTGACACTTGGTAATTCACAATTAGCGAAGATAACATGGGGTAAATCACTAAAGAGTTTGCTATCAATTCTTAAGACATCTTTAACGTGAGATTTTTAAAGACAATCAAAATACATTTTTCAGTGAAGCCATAACAAAGAAAAATTATATTACTTTACACAAAACATAATGAGTGGCTAACTAAACTGGTGTATGGTTTCTAGAAAGAGCCCCTGCAAGCTTTTGGTCCTGGTAGAATGTGTAAATGAGATAGGGCTGTGATGAGTTTGAAAAGCAAAACTAAACCAGTGACCACAAAGACACTAAAAGGGCAGTTTCTATTGCAATAGAGCAAAAACCTGATAAAAATCCAGACTTTTTCTGTAAGTAGCACAGTGCAAAACCAAGAGATGGTAGGTATATTCTGCTTCAAGAACAGCAGACAATAGCAGCTCTGACTTGGAGGACCCCTGCTTCGGAACAAGTGAAGTAGTAAGGGCCAGGGCCTCCCATCAAGTAAAAAATGTGACCAACAAGTCACACAGACAAACACATCTTATCTTTACTTCTAACTAATTCTGAATTCTCCAGCAAAGTGTGCTGTTTACTTTCCTTTTAGGTTGTTGCTATGCCATCTCTGAGCATCATTCCAATCCTTCTAGATACCAGTGGGAAACCAATGAGCAATGCACCAGGAGAGGGGACAGCAGAGCTGTGGACAGAAGTGCAAAGACTTCAGTGACAACAACAGTTCATAAGCAGCCTTCCTGAGGACAAAGCTGTCCCTGGGCAGTACCACACCTGTCTTGGAGCCTGACAACTGGGGTTTGCAGGGGGTGGGAAGCTGTTGGAGTCACATCTGCCCCCCCTTTCTTTTTTTCCGTGTTGGGGTTGAACTTTAAGGCTTATCGGTGCTGGGGAAGCATTTTATTACTAAGTCCCTAGTCCAGGGAGTTGTAGTCTTCCCCCATTAATTTTGGCAATACAGGCCTATTGTCCTAGCACTGAGGAAAGTTTGGGGCCATTCAAGGTTATTTAAAGAGCCCCTGTCTAAAGCCAAAAAAGCCAAACCTACCTGTCCCTGATGTAGCAGACTGTAAGCTGGTTAGAAATAAGTGCTTTGAATGTAATTTTAAAATACAAGGTTGAGTGACAAATCATTTGCTTCCTGATGGGATGTTATGCCTAGTCGCTTAATAAACAATTTCAAGGCAGTAAACTGTACGAATCGGGAAGAAGTTCCAAATTTCTAAGAATTCTTCTCATTACTGGGCCTGTAGCTCACTGGCCCCTCAAACATATGGTCATAATTGAGTGACATAAAAGCACCACGCACTGACCTTACCTTTGCCTATATTATGCCACTTATTTTCCTTAACGTTGTGCAAGATTTTGATTTAACAGATAAAACAGTATGGTCAGGGGAGTATTTAGCGTAGATCTCAATGCTAGGAAGGGGAGGAGGTGAAGTCAGAGCTCTTCAGGTAACCAATGTGCTGCCTTTTTCCTGCACGTAGCCATGACATTAGTTGACATTCACAGCCTCACAATACCCGGCAAAGGGCAGAGCACAGAGGACTTCATCAGTGGATGCTAACTTATCATTAACAGTCTTTAAGACAACTTTCAAAACAGACAGCTTACCAAGAAAGTGCACCAAAAGGATTTGTGCTATGTAGTGCTGACAGAGGAGAAAGACATGCTTTATTGACTGTCTATGATTATCTCCTGGGAAGTGGTAACTAACTATCATCACAGGCTGCTTCGTGGGTTTGAGAAATAAGTACCAGTGCATTCAATGGAGGAGAAGGCAGAGAGATGCCAGTTCCTGGGCAAGTGGGCAAACACCCAAAGCCCAGGGGATTTGCTGTTAGATCCCTGGGGCCCTGAGATTTTTGCTGACTGCTGAGCTATGTAGATGGCTCTAGACAGGAAAAAGTAGATGAAAGATAAAAACAAAAACTTTCTTTATGCCAAGAGGGAATGAAGGTTTTTATTTATATTTTCTTTTCTTTTCCTGTATGGGGTAATTATCGTTCTCCCTTTTAAAGTCACTGCAAATAACAGCAAACATAGGATTTATTCAACTCACAGTGGGAAGATGAGGAGGATGGGTAAGCAGTATTTACCTGCTGGTTCCTTTTTCATTCTTGGAAACACACATGCATTAATGTGGGTCTCTAGCTGGAAAGTTAGTGGACATGCCTAGGTGTAAAATTTCAAACAAGATCATGCCATGATCAAGAGGCCCACCAAGATCAGATGCATGATGGTGTTCCTACAGAGAATTTTTTAATATTTATTTTATGCATATGAGTATTATATTCACATGTATGTAGATACACTGCATGTGTGCTTGGTGCCCATGGAGGCCAGAAGAGGGCACCAGATCACTGGAAATGGAATTAAGGACAGTTCTAAGGTACGTTAGGAACTGAACTCAGCTCCTTTGCAAGGGCAACAAGTGCTCCTAACTATTGAGCCATCCATCACTCTAGCTCTTGCTATAGGAACTTGACAAAAATATTAAAACAAGCAGTGCAACTCTGAAACCCCTTGCTACTGTGCTGGCTCTGGTGCACATTTGATGGAAAGCTGGCTCCCAGTGATGGCTGTTGGGATATGCCCTGGGGCTTTCCTTTGGGTTGCTAGCTCTATCACTGTCCATCACGTGAAGTCAAGCTTCAGTGTCCATTAAGCATAGTTCTGTGGTGACTAGCACTGAACCAAGGGCACTATTCCATCCACAGTAGACATCCAAGGAACACAGTATAATCATAGCCCCAGAGACCTGCAACAAATGAAGGCCATGTTCACAACAAGGACCTTCCATTCTAACCCCTCCCTTTCTGACTCCAATTATGTATTATGAAGTGAGCCCTCACCTACAGGCTTAGCAATCTTTCTGTCACCGAGACATTTGGTTGTCAATGTACTTTCTGATTAAAGGTCGTCTCTGACATAGGGAACACAAAGATCGGCTTCATCATCTCTGGATAATGTGAAGCTTGGTTTGTCTAGGAGTCAGCACACTTACTAGATTCCCCCATTGAAGTGTGGCTAGTAAGTGCCAATGGCCTACTACCACAGCTGGAGCTGTCCTGGAAATGACAGCTAGGTCAGATTAATTTACATTTTCTCCACACAAGCATTTAGTTACTGCAGGCAGGTGAGATACTCAGTTTTTAACAACAAACTGGTTTACTGCAGATGTGATTTTTTTTTTTTTTTTTCAAGCCAGGGTTTCTCCGTGTAGCTTTGGAGCCTATCCTGGCACTCACTCTGGAGACCAGGCTGGCCTCGAACTCACAGAGATCCACCTGCCTCTGCCTCCCGAGTGCCGGGATTAAAGGCGTGTGCCACCAATGCCCGGCTGCAGATGTGATTTTTGTAGGTGGAATGAACAAATAAACCAAACCCAAGTTTGGTTTAGTAGACATTTATGTCTACTAAAAGACCCCAGATAAGATTTTCTTTTTTATTTTCATTCAACTCTCTATACTATCCTTCCTTCCTTAGCACTTGCTTATTGTGGACTGGTGAATCTCTACCTCATGACCCTGGCCAATTTTCTAGGAAGTTCTACATGTACTGTGGAGCATATATCCCCAAGAAGGTAGAAAGAAATTCAACAGGGAAATGTCTGAACCTAAGAATACATATTCCACAGAATATTTGAAACTACCTCAGAACTTGCCAAAACCCACCCTTCTTCCACTCCATGCTGAAAATACTCTTATCCATTGCTGAAAGCAGCATGACAAAACAATGCTTTGAGAGCATACCAGGGAACAGAAGGCCCAGACAAACATTCCATCACACCTATGAGACACAACCTATTTCACAGAAGACAGTCTCAGTTTTCAGTGATTTGGATACCAAACCTCTTTCAGATAATACCTAACTACAATTCCTTATCTCAGAGTGACAGGTTCCTGGAAATTCAACTGGATTGTAGGTTACTGGCAAACACTGCAATGAGAAAACAGATGCTTTCAGTCTTACACGGGCCAAAATTAGCTTGTGGATCATTTTTTTTACACATGCAAAAATCTTAAGGATAACTGCCAGTTTAGCTATCCTGCTGAAGAGAAAGACTGTTGCCTAGAGAATTAGGGTGAGTACAGAGGAAAAGGGCAGATATCCTAACAGCGCAGCTATCTCTGCAGTGAGTTTTATATGCATGCAGTGGTTTGCTTTAGCACTAACATGGAAGAATTTCATCAATTCTGCTTACTAGACAGTTAAGCTGACTACTTTGGAAATACTCAAAGGGGAGAGGGACCCTTATTGTGGAGCACTTGTGCCATCTAGTGGCAGCTCACACAAGATAGTCTAGCATGGATACTACTTTGCATTCTATTATGGGTTTTCTACTATCTCCCACAGACCCCTTCCCCAAAGAACAGAAAAGGAACCTAAGAACACGTGTGCCATTACCCCGTAGGTAAAGGTTAAATTCTGAAGCAGATAATCCTGGAAGCTGTAACACACTGTACTGCATTCTCTTCACTGAGTATTGAAAATCCTCTGAGATTCCCTTTCCATCATTGCTAACACAGTGCTTAGTTCTTTGATCAAAGTGTCATTTATACTTCAAAAGTGGCAGGGAGCGTATGTGTGTATGTGCTGCATTTGAGCACAGGACAGGGAAAAGAGCAAGCAAGAGATACAACACAGAAAAATAAAAATAAAATCCTTCACATTTTATATCAGAGCACCGGTCTATAACATGACATAGAAAAGAGATACTGAGATTTGCAACTGGAATCCACAAATAATCTCATCCCTAACGATGCACAACCATCACAAAACACTGATCTTCAGCTGCTTCACGAAAAGGAACAGGCAAACAGATAATAGAACAAAGTATATGGGTCACCAGGATAGCGCAAAGTACCAAAATTCAAGCAAATGTGTTAGGAAAAAACTCTCCCTTACTTTCCGGCATCGAGGATTAGGGCAGCTGAACCTCTTCACATCACTGTCCAACAGAGCAGGGAAGCTACACGAGGGGCACCTGAAATAAACAGGGAAGGTGTATCACTCAAGATGGTTAAGTAGGTTTCATGGGATTGTGCTACCCAGCTGGAGTGTTGAGTAAGGCAGACAGTGCTTTGTACTCCTTAGTTTTCACTGTAACCTAGATTGAGCTTCTTTCTTTACCAAGGACCATATCAATGCCCAAATTTACTATCAACAACACCTCAAGCTTTCAAGGATTCCTTGTAACCAATATTTTTTCTCCCACCCAGGACACGGTGATTCAGCGATTAGGTGGTAAGAAAAGCACGTAAGAGTCCACTGATAGAGCCGAGTGGTGGTGGCGCATCCCTTTAATCCCAGCATTGGGGAAGCAGGCAGGCAGATCGCTGGGAGTTCAAGACCAGCCTGGTCTACAAGAGCTAGCGCCAGGACAGCCTCCAAAGCCACAGAGAAACCCGTCTTGAAAAACCAAAACAACAAAACAAAACAAAACCAAAGAGTCCACTGATAGATGTTTACATTATAAAGTTTAATTATTTCATTTCTCAGCAAGAAGTGCCAAAAAACCCAATCATGCCAGATCAAATGTTCCAGCAGACTTCACCTTGGGGATCAGCAGAGTATCAGAACTCACCGGACAAGCTCATCAGCATAGGCTGCAGTGACTTCTTCTTCAGCTTTCCGTTCATAGTATTTGTACAGAATGGTCTGGGGGAGCACCTTCTCCAGTTCACTGGTTGGGAAGGAACACGTGCAGCTGCCTTCCATGCAGCTCAGTTCTGACTAGAATAAAGTAAGCAGGAAAGAAAAAAAAAAAAAAAAGGATTCAGAATAACAAAAGAGCCAAGGAAGTCAAACACATCTTTCAAGAAAAAGGCCAGTAGCAAAACACAGATGTGGAGGTAGTAAAGTCCTCCTCTCTGAGAAATCATTCTTTAACCAGGAAGCATTAAGAGCAAAAAGGCATTCCTTGATCCTAGTAGATGACCTCCAGCAGCCCAAGCTACAATCTATAAAGATGGAACACCAACAGCTAAAGTGACATGGCTCAGTGGTTGGAGGAGGTTGGCTACCATGTCTGAAGTAGGCTGCTTCCCTGGTGGGATCTGTAAAGCTGGAGATCCTTTTGGAAGGGGATGGGAGAGGTGGTAACTAGGTTAACAAAAGAGGGGGGAGGGACTTCTATTCTTACTTTCTCCGAATGGAAATCAACAGAAATGTTTAGGTACAGCAGAGCTCCAGTGTGGCCTCAAGAAGACCTGAAGCAAAACCTGCACATGGAATTGCAGTATTTCCAGCTCCTTCCCAGTCAGTTCTAGGATTCTGGGACAGGGGCAATATCATATCCACATTCAGTGAAAATGCATTAAAATGTCATTGGAGAATCACAACAGGAAACACTATTTATAAACACCCAAAGTAACCACTCAGCCTATACACCTGTGGCTCAAATAGCTTCCAAACAGATCTTTATTAAGAATGGAAAGTGCCAGACATCTGAAGAACCATAACAGGAGAAAGGACACCAAAGTAAAGACAATGAAATGATCTCAATGTTCCCAACAGTTCCTAAGCATCTCCCTTTTCCAGGGGAAGAAACTATGTCATAAGATGATGCTAAAGGCCATTTAAAAGGTTAGGTTTGGAGAGATGGCTGGGTGGCTGGAAGCACTGGCGGCTCTTTTAAGGGGTACAATTCTCAGAACCTCCATAGTGGCTTAGAACTGTAACTCTACTCCAAGGAATCTAATCTGTCCCCGGGAGGAAAGAGCAGCCAGGGCTCCCAACCACCAAGCCATGCACATAATGCATACATGTAGGCAAAACACTCCTACACATAAAAAAAAAATAAAGAAAAAGGTTATTTTCAGGGAGGGAGGAGTGCTAAATAACAATAAGGATGTTTTAAAAAGACATAGGGGAGGATCTCTGAGTTTGAGGCAAGCCTGGTCTACATAGTGAGCTCCAGGACAGTCAGGGCTTAACAGAGAAACCCTGTCTCAACCCAATAAAGGGTAAGAGGCCAAAAATTTGAAGATGGTAGTCACAGGAGACATTGGATGGAGTGTGAAAGAGAGTGACAGACAGACAGAGTGACAGAGAGAGAGAGAGAGAAATACATTACATGTATATGACAATCTTTAAAAATAAAAGGCCACTTTCTGGATCATGGTGTTGGTTTCTTCTCTCTTAGCCTCTCTTTCCCCCTCCCTCTTCTCTTCCCCTTACTCTGTTAGTACTAGGGATGGAACCCAGGGCCTTATACATGTTAGTCCTTCTTCCCTATTTTTTTTTTTTTTTTAACTTTGAGACAGGGTCTCAAATTAAATTTTTTTAGGCTAGCTTTCAACTTGTGATCCTCTGCCTCAGCCTTCCATGTAGCTGGTATTACAGAACCAAGCCACTTAGCTCACTATTACTTTGTTATGGTTGCTCGAAGAGATAGAAAACAATACACAATTCCTCTTAATATTGTTTCATTGATGTTCAGTGAAATGGACTTTGGACAGAGGAATATGATCTTATACTTACTATGACTTTTAAACCAACTACCAACTATAAAATCTTTTAAAGTATGTGAAAATATAGTAATACACTTTCATATGCTTAAATAAACTCATCCTGAGCTTACCCTTTATTGAATTGTAACCAGGAAAGTGAATGCTGAGGCAGGGGCCCTGTGGAGCTAGACACAGGGCATGAGGGAGTCAGGAAACCTGTTCTACTCAGAACCAACATCACACAAGTCAGGCCATGCACAAATCACCTATTGTCAGAATTTTGCCTCCCCACCCCCATGACACACGCCTTACCTTTCCAGCCCCAAACACTGCCTCTTGGGCATATCTGATGAGACATTCTTTGCAGAACAAGTGAGCATCAGCACACTGTGTCAGCTCCTCAAATGGAAACTCCCCATAGCAACATCGACACTCAATCAGCTGTCCATCCTATGAGCCAAAGGAGATACATGTGAATGCCCCCATGCCCCATTCAAGCACTGAGGTCTCATCTATAGCCCTACACATTTCCTTGCACCAGATACACATTGAGGTCAAAACTGACTCCTAGCAGACACCAAGTAACAAACATTTTTTTTTCTAATAGATATTTATTTATTTATTTATTTATTTATTTATTTATTATATATACAGTGTTCTGTCTGCATGTATGGTTGGACACCAGAAGAGGGCACCAGATCTCGTCATAGATGGTTGTGAGCCACATGGTTGCTGGGAACTGAACTCAGGTCCTCTGGAAGAGCAGCCAGTGCTCTCAACCTCTGAGCCATCTCTCCAGCCCCTGTAACAAACCTTTTTTGCTATCTAAAACTAGCTCAGAAGCTGGGTATCATGGCAATGTATGGGTAATAACAATACTTAGGACACTGAGAAAGAAGGAACTCAAGTTTGAAGACAACCAGGGTAATGGAATGAGACCTTGTTCAAAAAGAAGGTAAATAAACAACAACAAAAAAATAAACATAATTCAGGAAATCAGTATAACACTGCACTATAGCTAAAGACAGCAAACAACTGCTGCAACAGATGCTGATGTGTCTTTAAAAGGGTTAATGGTATGATACAGTATCCAAGAAGCTTTCTAAAGCTGGATTTGTTCCTCTTGTCAGAAGACAGTGGTGTGAAGAGACCATAAGCCAGCCCTTGCTTTTGGTAAGGGACTAAGTAAAATGAAGTCCCATACTTAAGTACCTACAGAGATGAAATGTCAGTGCTCACCAATGACACAGAGCCATGCTCAAAAAGCCCACTAAGCAAGTTGGCAGAGATGGCACAGAAAGCCCTGGACCAAGGCTACACAGGGAATCTGAATGTAGGAATGCAGAACAGTCCCTTCTATTAATTTCTGTTTATGTTCTTGAAGAACATATATATCTCCTTTCAGTTCTGGTCTGGTCTTGTATGAAGATAACCTTCTCTAGCTGATGTAACTGTGACCTGAGTGAATTGCAAACTCACAAGTCAACAGGAGGTTACATAGAAAAAGGCTGCTTTCAAAAGCCCAGTGAGTACACCCTGAATAAATGAACTTGGTGAGAATTCAAAATACCTTTTGATACTGTTCTTCATTCATCTGCAGGGCAAGCAAAAAGTCTTCATGCTGAAGAACAAGAGAATCAAACATTCAGATACAAATGTAGAAAGGAGATGACCAAAGCCGTTAGCATGGATTTCAATTTACGTACATTATTAACAATGTACTCCTTCAGTTAACATGGTTTAGTAATAGAAAAGGCTACTAAAGAATAAATCTGCAGTGAATAAGGGAACAGACTAACACCAACCACTGGTATAGCAAAGAAGAGCATAAGCAAACAGCAAGCCAAATGGGCCAAAACCAAGTTTGATAACACAATTTGCTGGTGAAGTTGAGAAGCAACCAGCACTTGTGTATTATTGTAGAAGATGTAAAATGGCTGACTGTGAAGGAGGCATGTAGTTCGAACTCAACAGTAGAAAAACAAATTATTTTGTTTTTTGAAATACGATCTCTCTATGTAGTCTTGGCCTTGCAGACCTAAAACTATGTAAATCATAAACATCAGCCTACCTCCCTCCCCTACCTCAAGTACTGAGATTAAAGGCATGAGCTACCAAGCCTGGCCAAAAATTACATATTGAGACAGAGTCTCACTATATAGCCCTGGCTGGCCTCGAAGTCATGGAGATCTGCCAGCCCCTGCCTCACAAGAACTGAGATTTAAGTTGTGTGCCACTATGTTTAGCTATCAAAGTCATGTTCAGGAATCTATCCCAAGATGCACTGAGGCATAAATATGAACTGATGCATGTACAAACTTGTTTACAAACAGCAAACCCTGGAAACAAGCCCGGACCTTCATCAGACAATGTTATAGCAGTGGATGGCTGTTACATGGATGCTAGGATACACTGCTAAGTGAAATAAATAGCAGATGCTGAAAAGTATTTCCCTTATAAATGTCTTGATAATGCTATACATGTGTGTATGTAAGCATGTGTAGAAGACAAGTTTGTGAAGCCAGTTCTTTTCATACACGTTCACATGGGATCGGGTCTCCAGGCTTTGAACAGCAAGTGTCTTTACCCAGTGGGGCATCTTATTAGCAGTCTATCTTTTGGATAAGAAAGAGAAATAAATAAAATACCCCTACATACTTGCTTTTACTTAAATAAAGATAAACTAAAATGAGTATTACTACAGAGGCAGTGTGAGAAAAATCTGGCTTGCTGGACATTCTTGCTTTATAGTTTTGACTTAAATAAAAATGTTACAAAACTGAAGGATAAAGAAGACCCACCTAAAAAAGGCCATTTCTCTACAAGTCAAATATAAACAACAGGCACAAATAAGCGTAACTGTTCGTGTTAATGGCATAACCAGAATCGTTTCAAACAACTTCATGGTTTTCGTTTGTATTTTTCTTTTGAAGCATAGTCTTGCTATGCTGGTTCTGAACCTTTGGGGTAAAATAATTCCCCTGCCTCAGTCTCCCATCTGGGGAGACTATCACTGTGCTCAGAAGATTTTAGAATCTTCTAAAATGATAGGTATCATGTTAAGTCATTAAGAATCAAAAGTGGGGTTGGAAAGATGGCTCAGAGGTTAAGAGCACTGACTGCTCTTCCAGAGGTCCAGAGTTCAATTCCCAGCAACCACATGGTGGCTCACAACCATTCCTTATGAGATCTGGTACCCTCTTCTGGTGTGCAGATACACATGGAAACAGAATGTTGGATACATAATAAATAAATAAAATCTTTAAAAAAAAAAAAGAATCAAAAGTGTCCTCTGCTCACACACAAAATAAACATAAAATGAAAGGAATGATAAAACCTGTACATTGAGCTAGGCAGTGGTGGCACATGCCTTTAATCCCAGCACTGGGGAGGCAGAGACAGGCAGATCTCTGTGAGTTTGAGGCCAGCCTGGTCTATAAAGCCACACACAGAATCCCTGTCTTTGAAAAACCAAAACAACAATAACAAAAAACCAACCTGTACATTGAATTCTAACCAGAAATCTCAGCATGAAATTCTCAATAAAGAAAGTAAAGCATTTAGGAGAAGTTTTCAGGTCAAGGCCTATGCTGGATTTTTTTGTTTTGTTTTGTTTTGTTTTTCAAGACAGGGTCTCTCTGTGGCTTTGGGGGCTGTCGGAACTAGCTCTTGTAGACCAGGCTGGTCTCCAACTAACTGAGATCTGCCTGCTTCTGCCTCCCGAGTGCGAGTGCTGGGACTAAAACTAAAGGCACTCGCCACCACCAACAGGCTATGGTGGATGTTTTATGTCAATTTGATACAAGTTAAAGTAATTTGAGAAGAGAGGACCTAAAGTAATTTGAGAAGAGAGGACCTCAATTAAGAAAATGCTTCCATATGATCCAGCTATAGGCAAGCCTGTAAGGTATTTTCTTAGTGATTACATGAAGGGCCCAGCTCATTATTGATGGTGCCATCCCTAGGCTGGTTAGTGGTCCTGGGTTCTATAAGAAAGCAAGATGAGCAAACTATAATGAGCAAACAAGGAGGCAGCACCCCTCTATAGCCTCTGATCAGCTCCAGCCCCCAGGTTTTAGCTCTATTTCAGTTCCTGTCCTGGCTTCAATGTTCAATGATGAACATCACTGTTCAATGATGAACAGTGATATGGTAATATATAAGCCAAATAAAACCCTTCTTCCCTATGGTGTTTCATCACAGCATTAGAAACCCCAACTAAGACAAACCCAGAGACACCAGACCAAAGATGTGGTCAGAGACTACCAGGTCAGGACAGAGGGGCTGCCATTGGCTAGAGAATAATTTGGATATAAGGCTAATATTGACTACAAATACCAGATAATCTATTAATCTTTAAATTGTTTTCTGATGAGCTCTGTGGTGACTTTTTAAAATTTATTTCAATTTTATGTGTTTGTGTGTTTTTCCTACAAGGATGTCTGTGTACTATGTGTGTGTGGTACCAAAAAGGGCCACAGGAAGGCATCAGATCCCCTGAGACTGGAGTTACAGATAGTTGTTAGGAACCATATGGGTGCTGGGAATAGAGCCTAAATCCTTAAGAAGAGCAGCCAGTACTATGAACTATCTCTGTAATCCTCTGTGATGGATGGATCAAGATGAAACTTTCTTCAAATTCTAATGTCTGCTTGAGATGTACAATTTTTTTTTTTTTTTTCCGTTTTTCGAGACAGGGTTTCTCTGTGTAGCTTTGGAGCCTAACCTGGCACTCGCTCTGGAGATCAGGCTGGCCTTGAACTCACAGAAATCCGCCTGCCTCTGCCTCCCTAGTGCTGGGATTAAAGGTGTGTGCCACCAATGCCCAGCTTGGGGGAGGGGGGTTGAGACAGGGTTTCTCTGTGGCTTTGAAGGCTGTACTGGAACTAGCTCTTGTAGATCAGGCTGGTCTCAAACTCAAAGGCATGTATCACCATGCCTGGTGCACTTCTCATTTTGTTGCATAGAATTACTTCAAAATTTGAAAACCCAAACAGCAACACTAACTTTGACTCTTTACCAAAGATAGCTCCATGTGAAAGTAGTTTTTTTTTTTCTTTCTTGGAGGCAGGGTCTCAGTATATTGTAACAGTAAGTGTTTACTCCATCCACTGGAGCCCTGCCTCCACGTGGGCGCTTTCTGCTAGGCCTCCCAAGTGATTGAGGTGGTAGGAGCTCAGAATCCTAGCCCCAGAACTCTGCAGGGCTGCAGGCTGTTTCAAGAGTGTGGAGTCCAACCCCCAAGAGAGGGGAAGGACTAGAGCGAGTGTATGGAAGGAAGCTGCTCCGATGCTGCCTAGCAGTCCGACAGGGCGGATTGCAGCAGCAGGTTCTCCGCTTCCTCTTTGAACCTCGGGGTGTGGAGTGATTCCACTCACTGATACCATTCTGTTAAGATAAGTCTTTAAACCATCCACCTGAGCCCTGCTGCCACGTGGGTGCTTTCCACCAGGCTATGGCCAGATTTCTGTGTTTTATCATGATCCCCATGTATGGACATCCCAACCAGCAGAAAGCAGTTTGGAATGAACGGACGGCCAAATTCCCATATATTGTTTATAAATCTTTATTTTCATTTAAATGGGGTTGGTTATAAAACGTAATGATCACAGTCAATCTCTTTTTAAAGGAAAAAAGGGGAATAGGCTATAGAAATGAATACTTTGTTTTGGAATGGATTTTCATTGATACAAATTTTTTGAGAAGAGACAGAGTTTCTTTGTGAAACAATCCTGGTTGTCCTGTGTCCTGGAACTCACTCTGTAGACCAGGCTGGCTTTGAACTCACAAAGATCTGCCTGCCTCTGCCTCCTGAGTGCTGGGACTAAAGGCGTGCACCACCACTGCCAGTCATTGATACAAATTTAAAGTCAATTTTGTGATATGTCTTTGTTTCTTCTTGTTTAGGTATTGTGCTTATACAGATTTTTTTAAAAAAGATTTTATTTATTTATTATGTATACAATATTCTGCTTCCATGTATATCTGCACACCAGAAGAGGGCACCAGATCTCAAAACGGATGGTTGTGAGCCACCATGTGCTTGCTGGGAATTGAACTCAGGACCTCTGGAAGAGCAGCCGGTGCTCTTAACCTCTGAGCCATCTCTCCAGCCCCATACAGATCTTTTAAAATGTAATGCATAATTAAATACAGATTATATAGTCACCTATAATAGTCAAAACTTACAGTTAGCTGGGCGTTGGTGGCACATGCCTTTAATTCCAGCACTCGGGAGGCAGAGGCAGGTGGATCTCTGTGAGTTCGAGGCCAGCCTGGTCTCCAGATTGAGTGCCAGGATAGGCTCCAAAGCTACACAGAGAAACCCTGTCTGGAAAAACCAAAAAACTTATAGTTAGGTTAGTTAGGTTTTCTAGATATACAAAGATGTATTTGAGATGGATATTCTTCAAATCTTTCAAAGACCTACAGAATATATGGCATTTAAGGTTTAGGGTTTTTCTTGGCAGTGAGACACAACTGCTCCTGGTACACCAATTACGTCAGAAAGGAGGATGGGCATCAAAGAAACTCGTTACGGAGTTTGCTTTCAACATGGCAAGATTAGCCATTTGGGCAAGAAACTGCTCGTGCTGGACTGTTTGTTGCTGAATAAACTGCACATGCAGGACCCACAAGAAAATGACTGTTGAACTTACAAAACAAGATGAACAGTCCTGAAGGGTTCCTGCTGAAATGGAGAAGTATGCCAGACACACTGGCCTATAGGCTGAAGATGGATGCCCCAATGTTACTGAGGAACTTTGGGTGACTGTCTAGGCAACCAGATGTCTCTGTCAGGTCTCAAGTTTATATATTATCCTTCTGTGGTCTTTGATGGAGTTGAAGACAGTTATGGTTATAGTTCTCTTCAGTTATTATAAAAGATAAGTTACCCTTCTTTTTATTTAGACAGAAAAGAGGAGATGATGGGGGAGGTCCTTCTGTGTATATGACTGTCTTACTGGTTGATAAATACTGCTGGCCAATAGGTGGGACTAGGAGTCAAGGAGGATTCTGGGAAAGGGAGGAGAAAGCGCAGAGTCACCATGTGAGCCCGGGAAGACAGGATGCTTCTGCTGGTGTTTGATAAGTCTTATAAAATATATAGATTTATGATAATTAAGACTGAGCTAGCAGATGAGAGAAGTCCTAGTCATTGGCCAAGCAGCATTTGTACCTAATATAAGTCTCTGTGTGTTACTTGGGACCTTAATGTGGCAGCAGGCAGAACTTGGGCAGCCTGGTGGAAAGTACCCACATGACGGCGGGGCTTGGGTGGATGGTGTAAAGACTTATCTTAACAGTATATAGCTCAGGATAGCCTTGAACTTGTGATCCCCCACCTTAGTCTTCCATGTGCTAGGACTACAGGTGTATGCCACACACCTGATTAAAATTGACATATTGTACTATTTTCTTGTTGGTCTTGGAATTAAACAGAACTACCTCACACATGCTAAGTCAAATGTTTTCCCAATGAGCCATATCCTTGACTCTCTCACTAAGTTATCTAGGCTAGCCTTGAAATTTTATTAATTCTTTGGCCTCAGCCTCCAGGGTAGCTGGGATTACATCACCACACATGGATAAGAGTAGCATCTTAAAAAGTGAGTGCAGGGAGACTGCTAAGTCACTACTGCTTTTTTCTGTTGCTACAAATTTAATACAGTTCAAAAAATAAAAAAATAAAAGCAAATTCTATTCATCCTTTTAAGAAATGTGACCTCAGATGGGACAAGATGGTATACACCTTTAATCCCAGGCAGAGGGAAGCTTATCTCTGTGAGTTCAAACAAACAAAACAAAAAAATGTGACCTCACAGGCTTGGATATTCATGAACTCAGAACCCAAGGCCACCAAAGCCTACAAGATTTTTACTAAATAATTAATATGTTTATTCCAATTGAATTGAATGTTTAATAATATTTGGGAAAGTTATAGAGCTAAATGAGACTCTTCCTTGTTTTTTCTTCACCACTTGTGGCTGAAGGGAGTGAAAGACATAGCTTACATGTCATGGTACACATGTTAGCACAAACATACATGTGCAATAAATGCAATAAAATTTTTTAAGTCTCTAATGTTAATCTGACTTATGAAACCATGAGGTTAGTCGGTATCATAATAAAATATAGTTTTGTTTTGTTTAAAACCTTTGCTGTCCTGAAAACAACAAAGAGAAGAAACTCAACACAGAAAGCAAACAAAATGAGTAACTGATCAAGGATGTAGTAAGAAAGGAACAAACAAAACAAAAACTCAAAAACCTTTTCTGTGAGCTGGGTGTGTTGGTGCACTCCTATAACCTAAGCAGTTGGAGTAACATGAGGCAGGAAGATTTCCAAAAGTTCAATACCAGTCTCAGCAACATACAGAGTACCAGGACAAACTGGTTCAGTGTGACCTCGTTTCAAAAAACCAAAAACTTAAAGGCAAACAAACTTTACCATGGAATCATTCAAAAAATGGAAAATTTGGGCTGGATGTTGTACCTCAGTAGCAGCAAGTTAACTGCATGCTTAACCTCCGGTACAAGGGATAAACAAGCCCTCCAATTCAAGATTCTCCTGCTTTAGCTTTCAGTGCTAGACTTACAGGATGGAACAACAACCACACTTTTCTTATGTGTATGATACTAGTGAAGGGACCCAAGCTGGGCTATATCCCCAGCACCCAAAGGAACTCTTACAGCCAGCCATGTACCACACTCCAACAGGGAGCAGACTAGAACTTCACAACCACATTCCAAGATCAGAGCACAGCTTCTTACCTCTGCCATCTCTTTGACTTTCTGATCATAGAATTCCTGCTCTTGCTGCACAGCTGGAAGGAGGGCTTGCTGGTCATAGGATCTACAGTGTCGACGCTTGTTTTCCAGAAAGAACATCCTCTTTTCTATTTTTATGTTACCTACAGACATAAGACAAAGTGAAACCACAGGGACAACTGTTCACTAGGAATACAGGCCAAACCATTCTGTCTTCTACAACTTAGCATCCCACCAGCCCTGTGGCAGGACACTACATCTTTCTATAACTCATCTTGCAGTTGAGACCATATGCCTCTCATGTTTCACCTGGGGTAAGGTCTTTGTCCTTCCTCACTTTCTTTGTGAACACCAACTGCAAAGCCTCTCCCACTCTGACAGCACTGTACTATGTGAGCATGCATACAGTTTATTCATTTATTTTCATTTTTTCATGTTCATTTGTGTTTTGCCTGTATGTGTGTGTCTGTGTGAGAGGGTCAGAAGCTCTGGAATGGGAGTAAATAGAAATAGTGCACTGCTATTTATTTAGGTGCTGGGAACTGAACCCAGGTCTTCTGGAAGAGCAGCCAATGCTGTTAACCTCTGAGTCATCTCTCCAGCCCCACAGCATACAATTTACTACCCTTATAAAAACAATGGCTTTTCAGTTCTCAACTATTACAGATAAAATTAGAATGCCCTGGGTTTGTTTACTGGTCAATCTGCCAGTCACCTAGGTTTACAGGAAAGAGTTAGGACATGTTTACATTAAGCTCTAGAAAATAAATGCAGTTTTCCCAAAATGGTCTTTCCAATATATAACCCCCATCCAAGAGCAACTTATGGGTTCCATCTGTTCCACATGCTTGTCCATACCTGATATTACCAGATGTTTCTTTTACTCCCTGGGGCAGAAGCAAATATACTTTATGCATGTTAAACTTTTTTGTTTTTCAAGACAGGGTAGCCTTGGTTGTCCTGGAACTCACTCTGTAGACCAGACTGGCCTCCAATTCAGAGAACTGCCTGCCTCTGCCTCTAGAGTGCTGGGACTAAAGGCGTACACCACAACCACTTGGCTACATGTTAAATTTTTGAGAAAATGAACTACTTAAAATATCTGTAAGAGCAGCACCTAGATTAACCAAAATCACACCCAGAATAAAAGACAGAACAACTGGGCTGTTCTGCACTGATTTTTCCCGTTAACATATCCATAAAACTACTGGTTTATTCTTGACAATCTTTTAATCCAGATATTCAAATACTACTGGTTTATTCTTGACAATCTTTTCATTTTAACAGTATTTATTGTCTGGTTCCTCATATATTTTACCCTCTTTTCCATTTTGTTCTTCTTAATACTTTTAAAAATGTAAACTTCTACCTGGAGGTGGTAGTCCATGTCTTTAATCCCAGCACTCAGGAGGCAGAGGCAGGCAGATCTCTGAATTTGAGGCTAGCCTGGTCTACAGAGCTAATTCTAGGACAGCCAGGGCTACACAGAGAAACCCTGTTTCAGAAAAACAAAAAAAATGTAAACTTCTGATTTGAGAATCAATTCTTTGCTTTAGGGGTAGTAAAGCATAGTGCTAAGAATCAGCTGCAAAGTCAGATCATCAGGACCGGAATCTCAGCTGGTCTACTTATATATTCACCAGCAAGGAACTTAGCCTTTTTTTGCTTCAGTTTTTTACTTTCTTTACATAAACTGTAACTGTGGCAGGAAATTTCAAGAAGTGTACTTTGTTTTGTGAAAGACAAAACTGGCCAACAAGGTGTTAAAACATAGTGCAAGGAACATGCTTTCCACTACTGAACACCAGGAACAGCCTTATGACTACATCTTAGGGATGTTAGAGAAACTCCATTAGTTTAGCTGAGTGAGAGACACCTACATCATAACCAGAGACAAGTAAGGCTGTCACATAAGAAGGCACTCCTCTGAAGACCGTTGAAGGACCTGACCTCTGAGTCACAACCTCATGTATTAAAAGCTAGAACAAAGAATCCATAAATCCAAAACCTTTCTAACTTGCATTTAATCATGGAATGAAGCTTTAGAAGCACACATGTAACAGAAGACAAACAGATGACAACTTTCCTATCTGTGATGTGGCTAAAGTTAAGAGCAGTGAATTCCTTGTTGATATGATTAAGTCACATGAAATGTTATAAAATCCAGCAGTCCATGTTTGTGTGTGGGGGGAGCTCAGACCCCAAGTGATTTCTTTGAAAGACTTTCTGCAGTTATTCCTAATGAATGAAGTAATTACTGTTTATTAACAAGCAAAATCCATGCAGTTATCATAAAAACAGAACAGAGAATCTGAACTGCTGAAGCCGAGGCTCCTGCTTCCTCAATCCCAAAGGGCTAAGTATGCCTCCCCCACTACACCTTACCTTTCAGTCACCAAAAACTCCACCCCCAAGGACCCAAATGCTCCTTTCAACAGGTTATTGGAGCAGTGACAGAATTCCCATAAACTATTCCAATGAGAATAAAGAAATTTTATAAAAATCTGGCTACCAGCCATGCTATGGGGTGCGAAATTACCTCTCGATAGCAAATAATCATGAATTGATTATAGACTAAAGGTTGGTACCGCTATATAGCCAATTCTGACATCTCAAGTGCAGTTTTTCCTTGATTAGCATCATTTCCCTTTAGTCCACACACGAAATTCTCCACTGCACAGCATAGTCCTGCTATATATACCTAAGGAGAGAGGAAGCCAACAACTGCAGTTCTGTCTCTAAGTTGTGATGAGCTGTCCAAACATTCCTAGTCAGTTCCTCTTGTGCTTATTTGGTCTTTGTAAACAGCGAATACAATGTGCCCTCACAAAAAAGAAGGTACCAGATTACAACTTTACATGGTATGGTTAATACTCAGCTTCCCATTACCTTGTTCAAATTTGAAATCTATGAAAGAATACTGATTCATTTCTTTCCTCTTTTTCCGTTTTCCACTGGCTTCAGGTGATAGCTCCTGCCATTTTTTAATAGCATCAGAAAAGGCCTAAAAATTGAAAAGGGGAAAGGTTACCATCATAAATGTAAAGAACAAATAAAAGAAGGAAATCCTGGCCGGGCATTGGTGGCACACACCTTTAATCCCAACACTCGGGAGGCAGAGGCAGGCGAATCTCTTTGAGTTCGAGGCCAGCCTGGCCTACAGAGCGAGTGCCAGGATAGGCTCCAAAACAATACAGAGAAACCCTGTCTCGAAAAACCAAAAAAAAAAAAAAGAAGGCAATCCTTAAATCTCATCTTCCCTCACAGTGCCAGCTTTGGCCAGTGTGACAACAGAATGCTAACAGGTTAAAAGGCAACATAAAGAAATGAAAGTTATCCATGCTTGAGCACAGGCTGTTATATAAGTGTTTGAGAGCAGTACTCTGGGTTCCACAGCCACAGCGTACATGATGTTTTTGGTAGCAGTCCTTCTCTAGCCCCCAATGATTCCTTCCCTAGCACATCGAGGCTCTTTACTATATGCTGCAGTCTGAAATCCTTAAACCAGTGTCTATCTTTTCCCTTGAAACTCCAGCTTCTTCTTCAAGTCTTAGATGTTTCCAATCAAAACTTAGAAAGAACTCATTGCCCCGTCAGCTCTTAGCTCTTCACCTCTTTGTGGTTAAAGCAGCATCAGATCATGTTTCACCCTGTCCCCTCCTATGGGCATGAACAAAACTCACAGAAGCCATGTTTCTCAGAAGCACACCCCTCCACATGAATCCTTATTTCCTGGACCTCCCTGGCAGTGTGCATATGCCCATGCTCCCACCTACTATTCCTCATTCCTCTCTCTGGTAGCCTATCCTCACAGTTTGTGAGTCCTCTCTACCTGACAGATTCTTAAAATATCACAATACAGGTTTGCCTCTGCAACCTGGTAACTCTCAACATTCCGTCTCCAGACATTTCTCTAACCTTTTTTATACATTCAACTAACTAATAAATTGCCTTACAAACACTACGCATTAGAGTGGCCTCTTATTCCTTCCCTGCAAATCAGTTCTTTTAGATTTTCTTTCTTCTAGCAAATGACACTACAAGTCTTCTTCCATGCCTGATATATCCTCTGTAAACATATTTTTTCCTTTCAGAGTACATCTCAATCATTAACAGTGTAACTGTTTGCTTCTCTGCTTCATTTCCTCCACCAGACTATGAGCCTCTGGAGAAAATTGTTGCATAGCTCATGACATACCCTTGGTAACCTGCACATCACATGCAAGTGGTTGCTGCATGTCCAGCCTAAACACCAATACTTAACTCAGGATTATAGTTACTTGGTATAGTTGCTGCATGTCTTGCCTAAATAAATACTTAGGAGAGAATTACTTGATGTTTTCGGTATTGAGAAGGTAATTACGCTTTCTTGTTCTTTGTATCTTGGTAAAGAAGTCTTTTGCCTTTTCTCCCATCTTTTGATGGGAGTATAAAGATACTTTGAACAATAAATATGGGTGGTTCAATATTCACTGAATGCCCTCCTGATTCTATCTGTCTTTTGTACATTTCTTTCTTCAATCCACACTCCTCCTTCCAAACACAGACCAGGGACAGACTAGCCAATGGGACAGGACAGAAGCCCCACAAAACTGGGTTATTACAAAGAATATACCCGTGTTGATGTATAAAAAACAAACAACAACAACAAAAACCCAAAACACCAAGACATTTTAATTTTAGTAGGCCAAGAGAGAAGCGGCACTTTCCAGCTTACTCTTCCAAGAGCTTAAAGCAAGGTTTTGAGAGGAAGGACTACCCAAGTAATGCCTACGAATGGCTTGATTTACAGACAGTGCAGTATAGGAACTGAGGCTCCCCTCTTTGACAATGGCACCTCATCCTCAGACAGATTTGGAGAAACCCCATCAAAGCCTGTCAAGGGTAAAACCCATCATGCTACCTTTCTGCTCTCCTTCTTTGGTTGTGGAACTTTCCATTTCCTTTCTGAAATTTCAAACCCTCATGCATCAATCTTAAAGCCACATCTTAATACACAGCTACAAGAATATTATAATTCATCAACTTTGGACTGTAGAGATGACTCAGCAGTTAAGAATAATGGCTATTCTTACAGAGGACTTGGGTTTGATTTCCAGCACCCAAATGGTAGCTCACAACTGTAATTCCAGCTCCAGGAAATTGTCACCTTCTTCTAGCCTCCTCTGGTACCATGCATGCATGTGGTGAATTGACATATATGTGGGCAAAACACATTTTCTTTTCTTTTTGGTTTTATAAGACAGGGTTTCTCTGTTGTAGTCTTGGCTGTCCTGGAACTAGCTCTGTAGACCAAATTGGAGCTATTTGCTAAAATTCTGACCATAATTACATTTTACAAGTAAGGCCATTAAACCAGAGGTGCTATTTGGAAGGTGAGTTCAGAGCTCCTGAATGGTGGTGTACTGGCTTGGTGGCTCCTAATAAAGGGAGGAAGAAGCTCCAGACTGGAGTCCTAGAGGGGTTGTTATTTCATTAAGTGGGAAAGTCCCACTTAAAATGAACATTCAGTACTTGTCAGGAAACTGTATCTTTTAAAATTTCATATATAAATTTTTCTCCAAGTTCTCACTTGGATTAGTAGTAGTCAGCACTTTTGTTTACAGTTGGCCAAATGCCTAATTATGTAGACTAAATATAATTAGATTACAGGGCAAGAATAAGAATGCCTAGTATCCTGTGTCTATGCACCTAGATACTCAGATCACTTTCTTGCCTCTTAGCCATCTGCATGATGCCTGTGGTGAAAGCATCTTTCCATCAAGGCTCTGCTCTAGTGACTGCTCAGCTCTCCCAGCTCTCTTATTTGCCTTTAGAGCACTTATCACATTGTGCCCCCAAATAGACTAAAAGCTCTTTGGGTGGAAGCTTCTCGGTGTCCTAGTTTTCTTTCTTTATCGTTGTTCTTTTTAATAGTGCTGAGGGTGGAGCATAGGACCTTGTGCATGGCAGTCATACCCTACTTTGTGTTTTACTGATCCCCAGATTTTCAAGGTCAGCCTAGGTACACACTAAGAAGTAAGGAATCAAAAAGACCTGCCCAGGAACTCAAAAATGTTATATTAGCTATTGTCTAATCTTTTCCCTGGGTTTATTTACATTTTTAAGTTAATAGTCATTCACATCATAGTTTCTCTCTTTCTTTTTCTTTCTTTCTTTCTTTCTTTCTTTCTTTCTTTCTTTCTTTCTCTTTTTCTTTCTTTCTTTTTTTCGAAAGAGGGTTTCTCTGTGTAGCTTTGGAGCCTATTCTGGCACTCCCTGTAGACCAGGCTGGCCTTGCACTCACAGAGATCTGCCTGCCTCTGTCTCCTGAGTGCTGGGATTAAAGGCGTGCACTACCAAGGCTTCTTGGGAGCTCTTTTTTAATAATCTAGGTTTTTTTTTTGAGGGGGGCGGGTTTCAAGACAGGGTTTCTCTGTGGCTTTGGAGGCTGTCCTGGAAGTAGCTCTTGTAGAACAGGCTGGTCTCTAACTCACAGAGATCTGCCTGCCTCAGTCAGTGGCTAAAAGCTAAAAGCCACTGACTGAGGCAGGAGAATCCTGTTTTAGGCTAGATGAGGCTACACGGCAGGTCCCTGTCTCAGAAGTACAATGGGCATGTTGATGCCTTAAAGAACAAGGGACAGGAAGAGACTTAAGTCTGATAGAGTGGATGGGTAAAGGTGGGGACTTTGCCACTCATACAGAAGCCAAGATGACTATTAAAGTTACATGGCAGAAGGAAACTTAGAAGCCTGGGGGAGTGAATACCTGGAAAAAGTTAGAGAATAGATTAAAAGATGGCCTACTCCATTAGAGGTCTTCATGTTTCTTTGATATTCCTGGTGGATGGGCTGGGGTTGGGGCTGGCAATGAACAGCCTGAATAAGATAGTCACATCTAAAGTAGAATAACGAAGAAAGAAGCTGAAGAGGAAATCAATTTCCAAGCTGGTGAAGTTCATAGGCCTGAGTATGCAAATCAAGACAGCCATCCTGGTCAATCTTGGTTGCATATGGAATTAACTAAAAGAAAAGCCTCTAGGGAGATGTATAAGGGTATTTTCTGGAAGAAATTCCCATGAAACTAACTGACAGGAGAAGACCCTTCCCTAGCGTGGGGCAATACCTTCCCAGCAATGGCCCAGACATAAGGAGGTCCAAGGGAAAAGCTACTGCTTTTTGCTTTCTTATGTCTGACCCTTGCTAAAGAGTGCATCTAGCCTGCTTCTATCACTACTACCATACTTACTTTTAACTACAAATCCTCTGAAGTGCAAGAAAACATATAAAGAGTACAATATTTGTTCTAGTAACAAACACGTTTCCAAAGTCTTAATAAAGAAAATACTGATGGTGGTGCATGCTTTTAATTCCTGTACTCAGGAGACAGAGGTAGGTGGATCTCTGTGAGTTTGAGGTCAGCTTGGTCTAACAGAGCTAGTTCCAGGACAGTCAAAGCTACATGAAGAAACCCTGTCTCGAAAAACAAAAACAAAACAAAACAAACATGTTGATTAAAAAAAGAAAACACACACACACACACACACACACACACACACACACACACAGGTGTAAGATTTTCTTATAATGATGAGAGAACTGTGAACAAGTTCTCAAAATGATCCATAAAGCATAAGCCTATGATCAAATCATGAAGGCAAATGCTACAAAACTGACTAAAGAGAACAGCAGCCTCCAGTCTCCCACTTTAAAACTGCATACCAGCAACCAGGCAGTGGTGATACACCACTTTTAATCTTAATCTCAGCACTTGGAAGGCAGAGGCAGGTGGATCTCTTTAAGAGTTCCAGGATAGCCAGGGCTACATGGAGAAACCCTACATGGAGAAAACAAAACAAAAAACAAAAAACAAACAAACAAAAAAACTGCATACAGGCATTTGAACAATATTTGATAAAAAAAAAAAGACTTATTTATATGTTATGTGCATGGGTGCTCTGCCTGTATGTATGTCTGTCCACCACATACATGAAATGCCCTCAGAGGCCAGATAGGGTTGGAGTTACAGACATTAAATGTGGTAGGGCAGGAACTTGTTTACTGAAACCCTCCTACATGAGCCAGGCACCATGTCACAGCTCTACACTATTATCCAGTTCTTCTAATGGATGTGTTTGAGATCCTTTCTATACTACAAGAAACTGAAGCTCCATGTGCGCCAGACGCTTGCTCAAATCACAGACTAATAAGCAGTGGCACCTGAATGTTTGAATTTGGGGAAAGAAAATAAGGGTCAACCCTACACTTCATCAGACTGAAGATCTAGAAATTTAGAGAAAATACAGGAAACACAGGGACCAGCAGATGACACCTGGGGATACAGTTAACAAAATCCAGACTCTTGAAGCCTATAGGATAAACAACTCTTTATTTCTTCTTCAGCAAATAAGTTTCAAGAAAAAAATAAAATAAATAAAAAGCAGGAAGGAGACGTTGAGGACCTATAGATAAAAGACTTAGTAACTAATGGCTCTAAAAAGGTTTAACTTAGAACTTATTATGATCGAACAAGCTATGATATGGGTAGATACACGTCATACTCCGGGCACCCTGCTTTCCACAGTACAAATATCATCCTGTAGGGCCTTATGGAGATTTGTGGTTCCCTGATTCTTGGCAGCATTTTTTCTCGTTAGTGATCTCTGTAATCTATAAACCCTTTGTCTCTGCAAGAGAATCAAGGAGAGACCCCAAAACGAATTCAAAGCCATACCTTTCGGGTGATTGCATAGTGTCCTTTGAGCTCATGTAGGGCCCACTTGATGTCTTGGCTGCTGAGCATCTTGAAATCAGCCATCAAGAGGTCAGCAGCTTGGATGAAGCATCGCTGGTCAAGTGGAGTCAGTTTGGAATAGTCAAAAAAGTCAACTTTAGGCAACTGAAATAAGGCAAAAAGCATAAAGTTGGAAGTGAGAGCACATTCTTTCACAAAGGAGAAAGTGCTCTCAGCATTATGCATGACAGTGGCTGGAGAGAAGGCTCAACAGTTAAGAGCATTTGCTGTTTTTCCAGAGGAGCTGGGTTTGATTTCCAGGACACACAGACACTAAATAAAAGCTACCAGCAACCCCAGTTTCAGGGAATCCAATGCTATGTTCTAGTCCCTATGGGTAACTGCATGTACACCATGGTACACATATACACACTCAGTTCCCACCCCACAAAAAATAACAAATAGGCTGGGTGGTGGTAATGTGTACTTTTAATCCCAGCACTTGGGATGCAGAGGCAGACACATCTCTAGAGTTCCTAGAGCTAGTTCTAGGACAGCCAGGAAACCTTGTGTTGGAAAAACCAAACCAAGCAGGGCGGTAGCGCATGCCTTCAATCCCAGCACTCAGGAGGCAGAAGCAGGCAGATCTCTGTGAGTTTGAGGCCAGCCTAGTCTACAAAGTGAGTTCCAGGACAGCCTCCAATGCCACAGAGAAACCCTGTCTCAAAAAAAGAAAACCAAACCAACCAAACAAATAAATCTTTTAAAAGGGAAGAATCTTGTTTGTTCTCATAATTACTCTATAAGGAGGTAACCAGAATGAAATAAAAATGAGGAAGTAGTAGATAAACTTAGACATGGTGGTACATGTCTATAATTCTGACCTCAGAAGGCTGAGGCAAGGAATGATGAGTCCAAGACCAGTACAGGCTATACATTAAGAACTCATCTCTCTCAAAAACAAACAAAACTAACTTCTCATATCTCATGGGAGGGTGGGGGGTGGGGTTGTACCACAAAATATAATCAACATTAGCTTAGATCACAATTATTGACTAGTAAAGTTTTTAAACTTTTGACATTTTAAAATGGGATTTGGATCAATAGATTGAACACATACCTTTCTTGCAAGGATGGCAAGTATGCTGAAATATTTGCAGGAAAGTGTAGTAATACTTTTGCAACTTAGAATGAAAATATTCTAATAAATGGAGATAGAAGATAGCGATATAACAGAGCAGGTGTAATAAAATTTTACTAGTATTAGTGGTAGGTATACCAACAATTCATGTGATATATTTCAATTTTTATATAAATTCACAATTATAAAATATTAAGAAAAACAAACTATTAGAACAACACAGAGAATCTTGGCCAATTCTTTTCCCATTTTAGGCACTTGCTCTGTAGGATTAAAGGCACAGAGATTTACTTAATTCTTTATGGTTATGGGTAGATAAAATAACAACACAAGAAAGGAGCCCAGGGAGGTCCATAAAATTCTGAAATCCAATTTTCCTTGCTTGCCTAACAGCACTTTATTGCCTTCAAGACAACAAAGAAGGCATCATCAATAGAGCAGATCAGGTTCAATTGGTGAAGCCGCCAGGGATACTTGCCTTCATATCATCCTGGCTTGCAAGCAGGCTGCTGCTGGGGTGGATAATAATTCGGTCTTCTCTCTTTGGATAATCTGGGTTTTCCAGAAGAAAATTACAAAGTCTGCAAAAGCCCCCACACAGTGTTACTTTCATTACTTTCAGAGGACTTCCCAAATCCCATATTTATCCACTGAGTCACAGGAAATATTTGAAAAAAAAAAAATGTTTCTAGTGACACTTATCGGAGAATTAAGATATACCAGTGCCAGCACAGTCCTGTAATCCTTACACTCAGAGGGTTTAGGTAGGAAGGAGGATCTCAAATTTGACACTGCTTCAGCTTAAAAAGAAAGAAAGGAAGAAAGAGAGAGGGGAAAGAAGAAAAGGAAGGAGGAAAGAAAGGAAGAAAGGAAAAAAATGAATGAATGAAGACGCTGTACCCAAGAAAAACTAATCAAATAATAAAGACAGCCACATCAGGTTTCTGGTTTCTCTTTGCTAGATGTGGTCATACACAAATATAACCCCAGAACTCAGGAGAGCTTAAGCAGAAGACTCTAAAGTCCTAAGTCAGCTGAAGCTGCACTTCAGGACTCTAGCTCAAACAGAACAAAAACAAAGAACACACTGACAAATGCAGACTCCGCCGAACTTTCTCTACAAGAAGAAGTCACTGAAACTGCATGGAACAAGAGAATATAGAAAAAAATTAGCTATTAAGAAAACTGTAGCCAGGCAGTGGTGGCACACACCTTTAATCCCAGCACTCGAGGCAGAGGCAGGTAAATCTCTGTGAGTTCGAGGCCAGCCTGGTCTACAGAGCGAGTTCTAGGACAACCTCCAAAGCAATACAGAGAAACCCTGTCTCGAAAAACAACAACAACAAAGTAAGCTTGGGGGCTGAGAGAGGGGACGAAGAAATTAAGTGGATGAAGTCAATGGATAAAGTCTCAGCTTGAGATGATGATACAATTTCTGGAGATCAACAGTTGATAGGGCTACATAATAATAGGAAAAGTGTTTAATGACATCTAAGTGTATGCTTGTAAATGGTCAAAATGTTACCTATATTTTATGAGACAGACAGACAGACAGACAGAGAGAGAGAGCACATACATGCAAGCAAGCATGATGGAATACTTACACATTCAAATCATAGTAATTCTTCAAATGAATTATCTCTTTAACATAACCCTTTGCTACATCTGGAAATCTTGCTTCCTAGAAAGGAATAAATATTACTTACATTTTGTTCATTAAAATGGTTCTGGAAGGCAATAAAAATTATAGGACATAAAGTATATAGAATGCCCAAAGACTAGAGAATGGCTGTAAAGCAGCTCTGTGCCTGGCTTAAAAATCAATCCTTATTTTCCAGATTAGATGGCAAAGATGATTGCAAAGACTCATAGGTATCCTATGTCTTATTTTATAGCTCTAGTCTCCATTCTTCCAATAAATACTGAGCATGCAGGCCAGAGATGAAGAAGACACAATCCCCATGCCTGCCTTCAAGGACACATCTCACAGTGTCAAATAAAAAGACCTGGCCAATTAGGATTAAGAGACTCAGGGAAAGAAAAAGCAGGTGACCCCAGAAAACAAAGGCCTGCTTTTCTCTTTACCTCAGGTATCCTACTGAATTGAGCTATTAAAATAATTGATGCACTGGAAATAGAATGTGACTTTATTCGGCAGTCAGAGATTGAAATGTAAATACCCACATGGGATTGCTAGTGGCTGCTGTATTAGATGGCCCAGATGTAGGAAATTCAATAAACAGGAACTCAAGGCCTTTTATAAACAGGAGTTTACAGGGATGCCAGCACAAGGCACCATGATATACAGCTAGCACCAAGAGCACTTCCTGAGGAGAGAATGCATATTCTGTGTTGCAGGTTTTAGAGATATCTGGATCCCTTTCTTTTACTCTAGATATATACTTTTTAGGAAAATTAATTACACAAAGTACTTCTTTGTTTACTGCAATGACAGAAAATAGAAAACAGTATGAGTATTAATAGTATAGTATTATTTAAATCATAATAAAAAGAAACTTACTGTTTCTTTTACTAATAGTGTAACGAGTTCTTGATCTACTTGAGCAGCTTCTTGTCCCCACATGTTCTCCAAATTGGCCTGCTGAGATCCTGGCAGAGGGAAAGCTGGCCCAGGGTCTTCATCAATTGCTAACTGCTGATCTTCAAGTTCTCCCAGAGGATGGGCCAGCTGAGGAGAAGCAGGGCCTGGAATCCCCTCTTGCTGGGGTTCTGGCCTTGGAAAAGCGGGCTCTGGGAAATCATGGCGCAAGAACAATGGGCCCATTTCTGCTTCAGAATGCCGCTCTTGGGGCACAACCTGGTTTGTTCTCTCCTGAGGCTGTGGATTCAGAGCCTGGAAGTATGGATGGTCAAGCCAGTACTCTTCTTCAATTACCTGGTCATCCACTGAAGTAGCTGGCTCTCCAGGATTTGACAAGAGATCTGTCTCTGAGTCTTCATATGATTGGTTCTGAGCTTCCAAAGGCTCACTTTCTGGGAAAAGAAGGTCATTTTCTCCCAATATAAGGACTTTCTGATCCAAATTGGGGTTGACAGTGTTGTTTGCTGTCTGCTTATTGCTTGGTCCAGGTTTGGCTTCTCCTTTTGTGCCACTCTCAAGATCCAGAAATTCACCATATTCATCCTCAGAGTCATCCTGTTCCCCAGAACCAAACAGTGAGTTGTTACAAAAGGAAAAAGAGCTGTGGGTCTCTGCTTCACAGTCTGCTCTAGACTTTCTAGGCCTTTCTTCTCCCAATCTGTTCAGATCTTGCCACTGGGCAGCTGGTTTGATGAGATTGGGTCTGGATGTCTGAGGTTTATGTTTCTAAGAAAAAATGAAATTTTAATAATAAAAATTCAATTTCTCTCCTGTATCTATGTCTGCTTCTGAACTTACAGTGAAAGGACAGGAAAGAAACAAAACCAGAAACAAAGCATCCCCTGAGGAAAAACACTATCACATCTTTTTTTAAGGTAGGGTGGGTTTCCTTATATACTCACTGCTGGCCTCAAACTCAGAGATCCATCTGGAATTAAAGGCATATACCCCATAAACACCACTCACATTTATTTTAATATTGAAAACTGATGAAACTACAGTATATGTGACTCAAAGTAGAGGCTCACTTGGGTGGTTGAAGTGTTAGACACAAGGACAAGCACCTGAGTTTAATGCCCAGAACATAGAAAAAATGCTAGTTGAGGTAGTGCATGTGTGTTGATCCCAGCATCAAGGAAGTAGAGACAGGCAGACTGTAATAGTCTCCTGGCTAACCCAGTCTAGCCAAAATGGTGAGCTCTGGGTTTATTGACAGACAGCATTAAAAACATTAAGTAGAGAACAGCAGAGGAAGACAGCAACCCATAAACTCTCCATATGTGTATATAAGTGAGTGGACCCTCACATTTGCCAATTTGTCCAAACATGCATAGCGCGCGCGCACACACACACACGCGCACACACACACACACACACACACACACACAGCTCCACTGGGAAGTGTAAATCAAGCCACAAAAATCAGTATCATCTAGTCATAGTAAAAAGATAAATGACAAGAACCCAGAAAATTAAAGCTAGTATGAATCTAAAATGGCATAACTGCTGGCAGGGTTTAACAGAGTTTGAGTGATTAAACAACTCTACTTCTTTACATACACAGATAGAAAATACACAATCACACACAAATCTTTAAGTTAATGTGTACAGCAGAAGCACACATTATTCATGAGAGTTTAAAAGTACAATTTAATTGACCATCATCTGTTGTGCATATACAAGATGTGATATAGTTACAGGATGAAATACTGCCTGGCAATAAAAGGAGTAAAATAGGGTCTGGTAGATAAGCCTATGTATGCCTTGGGAGGCAGAGGCAGTTGGAATGAGCTCAAAAAAAAAAAAAAAAAAAAAAAAAATCTACATGGGACAGCCAGGACTTAGAGAAACCCTGTCTCAATGCTTCCCACACCTCAACCCAAAAAATAGGGACTGGAGAAGATACAGCAGTTAAGATTAAGAGCACATACAGTGCTCATAGAGGATAGAATTTAGTTTGTAGAACTCTCACTGGGAAAACTCACAACTACCTTAATTCCCGCTCTGGGAGGATCTGAATCCTGACCTCTGCAGGCACTGCACTCACATACACACAACACCATGCAGACACACACACATTCAAAAATAGTAAAAAATAAAAACAAATAAAAATAAAATACTAATATGCTAAGTAAAAGAAGAAAGCTGCAAAGAACCATATATGACTCTATGTGAAATGTCTAGAAAAGTCAGTAAGAACAGCCAGAAGTTAGATTAATGGTTGCCTAGGACAAGTGATTGGGAGATGATAGCTAATATATCAGGATTTCTTCATGAGGTGATGAAAATATTCTAAAAATGATCTGTGATGACAAATACAAGACTGTATGAACATACTAAAAGCTATTGATTTAAATGCTTTATACAGATGAACTTACTGAGTTTGATCCCTACTACCTACATGGTGGAAGGAGGAACCTGACTCTCCCAAGTTGTCCTTTAATCTCCATGTGTGCCATGCACATGTCAAATAAAATGTAATAAAATAAAAGGAATTAAATGATGTACATTGTAGTGTGCATGAAACTTGAAAAATATGCTAACAGAAGGCAAGTGTAATACTACACAATTTACATGAAATTTCTAGAAAATGTAAATCTACAGATAGATTAATATTTGCTTAGTGTGGAAAAGGGGGGCAAGATAGAGGAAAGATATAGGTATGACTAACTGGTGATTCCAGGATGCAAATGTTCTAAAATATTCTAAACATTAATATTCTAAAATCAATCATGGAAACATTTGTATAATTATCAATTTACACTAAAATCACTTATGCAAACTAAAAGAATGCATAATATACTCAAGGTCATTAAGTTGTAATGTGATATAGGAAGATGAATATGCAGTTGGGTGTGGTGGCACACATCTTTAAATCCCAGCACTCAGAAGGCAGAGTTTAAACTCAGGTGGCTCTCTGAGTTTAAGGCCAGCCTAGTATTGTTTCAGAGAGAAACCCTATCTCAAAAAACTAACCAATCAACCACTAACCAACCAAAAAGTGGATAAACACACAATGAATGACTAAAGTAGTGAAGAAACCACATAATAAACCAAGTGTGTCAAACATGATAAAGAAGAGAACTACTAAATACCAAAGCAGAAATCCATGTATGAGAAAACAAATACAAGCACCTCTAGGTTAAGTTTCAGAGCTGTTTCTTTGGTAAAGGAAATGAAGAAAACCAAGGGAATGGGCTGAAAAGATGCCTTAGCTGTTAAGAGTACTTGCTACTCTTCTTTAAGACCAGTTTGGTTCCCAGCACCTTTATCAGGCAGTTTACAAATAAATGTCTGTAACTCCAATTCCAACGGATCTGATGTCCTCTTTTGGATAAGGGCACTAGCACACAGGTGATATTCACTCTCACAGACAGACATAAATAAAAACAAATCTTAAGTAAAATTATTAAAGGCCGGGTGTTGATGGCGCATGCCTTTAATCCCAGCACTCAGGACGCAGAGACAGGCGGATCTCTGTGATTTCGAGGCCATCCTGGTCTCCAGAGCGAGTGCCAGGATAGGCTCCAAAACTACACAGAGATACCCTGTCTTGAAAAACCAAAAAAAAAAAAAAGAAAAGAAAAAAGAAAAATTATTAAAAACAAGGAAGGAAAACACTGGTTAGTTTATCAAATCAAAAAACAAAACAATAAAAAACAACAACAACAAAAAACCAGGAGAAATGCCCAGTGGGTAGTCCTAGCACTCAACTTTGGAGATGTAGCTTAAATCTCTCTAATTTCAAGGTAAGTTTCAGGTCACCTGGACTACACAATGAGACCCTTGTCAGGAGGGAGGAAGAAGGAAACAAATACTCAAAATGAAGAGGAAACTGGAAAAACTACAGTAGAACTAAAAAAGAACAAGCTTTAAATTTTTTACATTTATATATTCAAAACCATAATAAAGAAAATAATTTTTTCAATGAAGTCAGCATCAAGTTCATAAAACACTCACTTCTGTCAGTATGACATCATCATCCAGGTCATCATCTTCATGTTGCTCAGTAGCTGGGGTAACCAGCATTGGAATTCCTTCCTCATCAGAAGAGTCAGATATGGTGATGGTCCCATCTCTGACACTCATCCATTCTATAGGGAGGCAGAAAATGTGGTCACTGTTGAGGCCAGCATGAGCACATTCAGTCCCTACATTCACTGTTGGCCCAAGCCTCAAGCCAATTCAAAGCTACTAACAGTTAACTTACCACCTCAAGTGCACACAGACTCAAGCAGTTAAGAACTGTTTCCATGTTGATTTTTGCCAATAACACTGAGAGATGCCAGACAAAATAAAATGCTCAACATGTATCACTTTTTCTTATGTTAAGTGAGAGAAATATGAAGGGATTTTTGGTTTTGTTTTATGACAGGGTCTTATGCTATAGCTAGCTAGCTTGGTACTGTGTAGACCAGACTACCCTCAAATCCCTGGTAATCCCACATATCCCCTAGGAATATAGGCATTTAATCTGTTCTTTTTAGTTGGGTGCATTGGTACATGCCTGAGATTCTAGCACTCAAGGCCATCCTCTACTAGACATAGAAAGCCAGCATGAGGGAGTCAGACTTTGCCTCAAAAAACAAAACCCAACTTTCCTGAAGGAACTCAGGCCAACTATAAATTTTTTTATATATGAAATTGTTTTAATTATGACATTGTCATAGAACTACCAGCTTCTTTAGACTCCCCATGTTTACTCCTTGAAAAAATTATCACTCAAAAATAGTAATAAATTCAGCCGGGCATTGGTGGCGCACATCTTTAAACCCAGCACTCGGGAGGCAGAGGCAGGTGGATCTCTGTGAGTTCGAGACCAGCCTGGTCTACAAGAGCTAGTTCCAGGACAGTCCCCAAAAGCCACAGAGAAACCCTGTCTTGAACCACCCCCCCCAAAAGTAATAAATTCACTTAAAATTTAAAAATCAGCTTAATTTATACATAAACTATTTAAGCAAAATTTCCATTTGAATCAAACACTTAGCATCTGCCAAGCAATCACAGGGCATCTGTGACACTAGGCAATTTAACTTGCCTGCTCTTTTAAATGGAACCACAGCTAGTTAAATCCAAAGACCCAGCTCTGTAAGTGAAGACGGCTGACAACAGTTGTTGCTCACTCTAGTTTGTGGGTAGGTGTGGATCCATTTGTGGAAACTGTTTTCTCCATTGTTGGGGGATGATATCTATTCTTACCTTTTTCTCGAAGAAAAAGTGTTTTTTATTTGAGTGAGGGGGCCTACAAGCACTTGTGTGTTTAGGCTAGAGGAGGAATATCAAATGCCATACTCAATTACTCTCTGATTCAACCATATTGACTGGCCAGTGAGGTCTTAGGATGCCTACCATCTCTGAATCCCCAGCACTAGGATTACAGATGCACACTGCTGTATCTAGCCTTTTAAAATAAAATTGTGGTATATGTCAGCACCTGTGTTCCTATGTGAGGACACCAGGGCCCATGTATTAAGATTAGAGGACAACATCAGATGTTAGTCCTTGCTTTCTACTTTGTCTGAGAAGGTCTCTTGTTCACTGCTGTGTATACCAGGCTAGCTGGCCTACAAGCTTCTAGACATTCCCGTCTCCACCTCCCATCTTGCTGTAGAACCATCAGGATTATAGACATGCACTATCATGTCTGGCTTTATGTGGGTTCTGGGAGACAGAGAGGAGAAACCAAAGAAGGTTCTGCTCAGTGGCTATTTTACCCACTAACTCACCCATCTCCCAGGGTTTCATGAATGCTAGGCAAGAGCATTATTACTGAGCAAAATCCCTAGCCCTAACTTTTTTTGTTTTTCCTTTTAAGACAGGGTCTTACACTGCAATTCAGGCTAGTTTGGAATTCACTGTGTAACTTAAGCAAGCAAACACTACAAATTGATGGTTAGCTCCATGAATTGGCATAAAATGCCCATGTAACCATGACAAGATCAGGGACTATTTCTATTTCTAGCCCATTAGCACCCTTCTTATGCCTCTTCCCATCACTGCCCTGTATCCTCCTCAAAAGGATTTTTTAAAAAAATTTAAATTAGAAATAATCTTCTCTTATATATCAATCTCAGTTCCCTCTTCCTCCCATGTCCTCCCCCCCCCATGCTCTTTCTGCTCCCCAGGGAGAGTGAGGCCTTCCACAAGGGAATCATCAAAATCTGTTACATCATCTGTTATATCCCCTGTGTGTCTAGGCTGACAGAGTATCCCTCTATGTGGAATGGGCTCCCAGAGTTCATTTGTACACTAGGGATAAATACCGATCCACTACCAGAGGCCCCATAGACTGCCCAGGCTTCAAAAGGACTTCTAACTCTACAGATCAGTTTTGGTTGGTTCTAAGTAGGGATTCTTCTGTGTCTGGCTTTCTTGCAAATCACATGACTGAGATACATCCATCTTGCTATGATGACAGTTCTCTTTGCTACATGAGAATGTGTACTGTGAATACATCACAAATTATTCATTCTTCCCTTAATGGACTTCTGAGTTGGTGATAATATGGGCTATTTTGGATACTGCTGTTATGTACATGGTTTGGTGTGCTCATTTCAGTTGGGAACATTCTAGGAATGGAAATGTAAGCATATGTTCAATCTTAGGAGACAAATTGTATTGCTACATTGATGCAATAGACACAGATGGTCTGCAAGGCAATACTATTTGGACCTTAACATTTCTGATCCCTTACTTGGACTCTTAATTTCCCAGCTTTACTTGGCGGAAAATCATGCATTTTTAGGCTTTAAATATTTAAAACACAGATTTCCATTGTGATGGATTAGTCTGAAGCCTATTGTGTTTCACAGAGATCTGCCTGCCTCTGTCTCCCGAATGCTGGGATTAAAGTTGTGTGCCACCACCTGGAGGCTTTATAAGGATTTTCTTTATTTTGTTTGTTTTTGTTTTGTTTTTTGAAACAGGGTTTCTCTGTGGCTTTGGAGGCTGTCCCGGAACTAGCTCTTGTAGACTAGGTTGGTCTTGAACTCAGAGATCCACCTGCCTCTGCCTCTGAGTGCTGGGACTAAAGGTGTGGGCCACCGCTGGCTGGCTATGATTTTCTAATAAGAACTTGTGAGGCTGGAGAGATGGGTCAGTGATTAAGAGCACTGGCAACTCTTCCAAAGGTCCTAAGTTCAATTCCCAGCACTCACAGGCTCACAAGTGATGGGGGAAGTACTTCTGTGTGTTTATCTTATATATACATGTCTCTTCTTGTTTAGGTATTGTGTTTATACAGATCTTTTACCTATAATAGTCAGAACTTATAATTAGGTTAGTTAAGTTTTCTAGATGAACAGAGATGTATTTGAGATGGATAGGTATTCTTCAAACCTTTCAAAGACCTACAGAAATATGGCATTTAAATGGTTTAGGGTTTTTCTTGGCAGTAAGACACAACTGGTCCTGGCACACCAATTACGTCAGAATGGAGGATGGGCATCGAAGAAACTCATTATGGAGTTTGCTTTCAACATGGCAAGATTAGCCATTTGGGCAAGAAACTGCTCGTGCCCTGGACTGTTTGTTGAGACATGCAGGACCCACAAGAAAATGACTGCTGAACTTACAAAACAAGACAGTACTAAAGGGTTCCTGTTGAAATGGACAAGTGTGCCAGACACACTGTGGCCTATGGGCTGAAGATGGATGCCCCAACGTTACAGAGGAACTTTGGATGACTGTCCAGGTAACGAGAAGTCTCTGTCTATATATTAAGAGTTTATATTATCCTTCTGTGGTCTTTGATAGAGTTAAAGACAGATAGTTATGGTTATAGGTTTCTTCAGTTATTATAAAAGATACGTTATCCTTTTATTTTAGCCAGAAAAGAGGAGATGATGGGGAAAATACATCTATAATCAATAATTTTATCTTATTGATTGTTGAATAAAATACTGTTTGGCCAATGAGACAAGTTAGACGGAACTCGGAGTCAAAGAGGATTCTGGGAGATGTAGTAGAGAAGTGGTGGTCCAGGCAGGAAATGACATAGCAAGGAGACTCCTATTTAAGCGAGGAGAAACTGGAAGATCCCTCTCTTTTCCCCTCCGCTCCTGCTCCAGCGACAAGATGTGATCCAGCAACAAGGAGGGACACCAATAAGGCATCTGATAAGGTAAGTCTTCTAACATATATAGATTTATGATAGTTAAGACTGAGCTAGCAGATGAGAAGTCCTAGCCATTGGCCAAGCAGCTTTGAACCTAATACAAGTTTCTGTGTATTCATTTGGGCCTAACTCGGGCGGGCAGCTGGCGTAAAGCTCACATGTGGCGGTGGGGCTCAGGCGACTTTTGGCGGAAAGTTTTATTGTAACACACAAGTGCCTATATGAAATCGAATGCCCTCTTCTGATGTACAGATATACATGTGGACAAAACACCCTAATACATAAATAAATCTTAAAAACAATAACAACTTGTAATTGATTTGTATTAATTCTAATATGCTGAGCAAAAGAATTCTAGCCAAAAAAAAAAAAAAAAGTATACTGTGGTGGTTCACTTATAGGAAACTGAGTAGCAACACAAAGTAGATTAGTGGCCTCTTGAGATCAAGATGGGATGAGGCATGGCTGCAAAGCAGCACAGAGGAATCTTCATACAGTGGCAGAAAATGGTCTGGTCAAAATTATAAGATTCCAAGTTCGATTTTCAGAACTGTTAATAAGAAAACTTGAGATTGGCACAACAAAAGTTGCTAATCAACTCTACACACCTGACAAACATCCTTATGATGGGTAGGTATAGCGTGTTTGTATTTGTTGAACAAAAAATTCATTTCCAAAGTCAAGAATTCTCAAAGGAGCTGGGCGTTGGTGGCGCACGCCTTTAATCCCAGCACTCGGGAGGCAAAGGCAGGCGGATCTCTGTGAGTTCAAGGCCAGCCTGGTCTCCAGAGTGTCAGGATAGGCTCTAAAGCTACACAGAGAAACCCTCTCTTGAAAAACCAAAAAAAGAAAAAAAGAATTCTCAAAGGAAGTAATTGTCTAGTTTTTTTGAGGTAAAGTCTCACTGTTTAGTTTTGCCTACTCTGTAGACCAGGCTAGGGTCACACTGACAGATTCACTTGCCTCTCCCTCCTGAGTGCTAGGATTAAAAGCATATGCCACCACATCCAGCCTAGTTGTTTCTGAAGAAAACTGTTCAACCATATTTAAGGCCCAATTAAAAAATCCTAACATTAGCCAGGCAGTCGTGACAAATGCCTTTAATCCCAGCACTCAAGAGGCAGAGGCAGGCAATCTATGTGAGTTTGAGGCCAGCCAGGTCTACAAAGCTACAGAGAAACCCTACCCCAAAAAAGGTTCTGGCTTAGCCTCATTGAGAATGTAAGGACACAGTTCTTTATTTTATAGTCCTTAAAATTCTGACAAATTCATTGATTGCAAAGAACAAAAAAGTACCTGCATTTTTTTTAATTAATTTATTTTTCTGGTTTTTCGAGATGGGGTTTATAAGGATTTTCTTTGTTTTTGTTTTTTTTTGAAACAGGGTTTCTCTGTGGCTTTGGAGGCTGTCCTGGAACTAGCTCTTATAGACCAGGCTGGTCTGGAACTCACAGCAGTGAACTTTAGTGCTAGGACTAAAGGCGTGCACCACCACTGCCAGGCCCTAAGCCCGAATCTTACAGCAAGAAAGAAAAGAAATTAAGAGCAAGAATGCCTAGCACTGTCTGTGCTAATTTAGATTTGATGGGTCCAGAGTTCTACTGTGTAATTTCCATTTCCTCAAAAACCTCTAGAGGCAAATGATCCACCGTGGAGGGCCTCACTATCCTTGTGGAGTTGGTGGGGTGGGGAGAGTGGGTGGAGGTGGGGTGGGGGAGCAAGTAAAAAAAAAAAAAAAAAGCATTGAATTAAGGGGGAAAAGACAATTTACCCTCTCCCCGGTGGCAGTGAAAGTTGTTCAAGTGAATGACCTCCTCTTTGTTGTTTCCCTCTGCCATTTTCAAATTTCTATACAGATATAGGTGGTTGTTAGTACCCAAACATGGCCATCATCTGTTCCACAGGATCTGAAAGAGAAAACAGCATTAACAACAGTATAAACTGGAAGGTGGTGATGTGTACCTTTAATCCTAGGACTCAGGAGGCAGAGGCAGGTGGATGCATAGAGTTCCAGGACAGCCAGGGCCACACAGAGGAATATCATCTTCAAATACCAAAAACCAGCCAACCAACCAACCAAACAAACAAAAGAAATCCACAAACAATGGCAATACAGAACTAAAATCCTCTGACTGCAGAGACTGAGGCAGGATGACCATGGAGTCCAAGGCCAGTCTGAGACACAGAGAGGAAGACCCTGACACAAAAGCAAAAACAGGATCCTAAATATCCCCACAAGATATTTCCAGATAGGTCATTGCAACTGTTAAAATATGCAATGGAATCACTCTGAAATTGGCAGTTTTTAGATGCCAAATGTGCATCTTTATCAATGTGAAACATCTATAGCATTTTCTTTGAGAATTTAACACCCTGTCCCTGTCTGTCCATGTTGTTGTCATCCCCCCCAATAAAAACTAGAAAATATGTGCAGGAAAAAAACCCATATAAGAATATTCAGGTAGCCATCAAGAAGGCTCAGTGGGGAAGATACTGGCCATAAAGCCTGATTACTTGAGTTGATGCCTGTGACCCACACAATGGAATGAGAAAACTGACTCTGGAAGTTGTTCTCTGACCCCCACATGCAGGCCTGGCATGTGATGCTGTTTCAGAGGACCTACACTTAGAACCCAGAACCCATGCTGGGCAGCTCACAATTGTCTATAACTCCAGCTTCAAGCAATCCCATACTCTCTTCTGGCTGTTTCAGGCACATGCATGCAACTGTCACACACTTATACATACATACATACATACATACATACATACATACATACATACATACAAACTTTAAAAAATCAGTAACAATCTAGCATAAAAACAATGTTCAGAGGTCAGAGAAATGGTAGAGTGTGCAGGAGGTAAAGGTGCCTGACACTAAGCCTGGGGTCCTGGAACCCACATGATAAAAGAGAATCAACCCTTATAAAAAGTCCTGACCTCCATAGGTGCATTTGTGCATATGTAAAACAAATAAATAAAATGTAAATCAAAATGTACATAGCAGCTTTCATTATAGATAATAACTGGAAGTAGTCCAGGTCTCCATCAACAGAAAGAGTTCAATTGATAGACACTTAAGCAATACAGACTACTCAGCAAAAAGAAGGAATATTAGGGGAGTTAATATGTCTAAAATAGCTGGGCGTTGGTGGTGCACACCTTTAATCCCAGCACTCGGGAGGCCGAGGCAGGCGGATCTCTGTGAGTTCGAGACCAGCCTGGTCTATAAGAGATAGTTCCAGGACAGCCTCCAAAGCCACAGAGAAACCCTGTCTCGAAAAACCAAAAAAAAAAAAAAAAAAAAAAAAATGTCTAAACTATATTGCACAAGGGAAACTCTCAAATTAATAAAAAAAATATTATTTAAGAAAGGGCTGGGCATTGGGGCACACCTTTAATCCCAGCACTTGGGAGGCAGAGGCAGGCAGATCTCCATGAGTTTGAAGCCAGCCTGGTCTACAGGCGAGTTCCAGAGCTCAGTGACAGAGATCTTGCTCAGGAGGGATAAAGGCCTAGGTTCAATCTTCAGTCCTAGGAGAAAAATAATTTTGGTGATAAAGTATGTTCCTATTTCTTTTTTTCTTTTCTTTTTTTTTTTTTTAAGATAGAGTTTCAGTGCAGCCCTGGCTTTCCTGGAACTCGATTTATAGACCAGGCTGGCATTAAAGGCATGCACCATTAAACCTGATGCTTTACCATATTTTCACAACATGATTTAAACTTATTTACTAAGTATTTTAATAAGAGCTAATTGCCAGACAGTGGCGCATGCCTTTTATCCCAGCACTCAGGAAGCAGAGGCAGGCAGATAGATCTTTGTGAGTTCCAGGCCAGCCTGGTCTACAACAAAGCTACACAGAGAAACCCCGACTTGAAAAGTGAAAAAAGAAAAAAAGAGCTAATGGTGACACAAAAAAAGTCAACTTTAAAATTACTGACTGACAAAACTGAAGTGCTGGGGAACTCAAGACCCTGCACATGCTAGGCAAGCAATCTTTCTACCAGTGAACTATATCCTCTACAAACGTAATATTTCATTGCAATAAAGATCTACAAGTCGCCGGGCATTGGTGGCGCATGCCTTTAATCCCAACCTTCGGGAGGCAGAGGCAGGTGGATCTCTGTGAGTTTGAGACCAGCCTGGTCTACGAGAGCTAGTTCCAGGACAGCCTCCAAAGCCACAGAGAAACCCTGTCTCGAAAAACCAAAAAAAAAAGATCTACAAGTTGTGAGCCAGGCAGTGTTGGTGCACGAATTTCATCCCAGCACTCAGGAGGGAATCTGAGTTCAAGGCCAGCCGGTTCTACAGAGTAAGTCTCAGGACAGAGAAACGACATCTCAAAAGACTAACAACAACAACAAAAAATCTACAAATGTGAAAATTCATATATATGTATGAATTACATATACACAAATATACACCTTTTTTGACTCTAAAATTTTTGGAGGCAGGGTCTCACTGCGTAGCTCTGGCTAGCCTTGAGAAATCATCCCATTTCGGCCTCCAGAGTGCTAGGATAAAGTTGTTTGCCACCATGCAGTTTTTTTTGCTTTATCAGAAAGGGCCTCACTCTTTTAGCCCAGGTAGGCCTTGAACTCTCTAACAATCCTTCAACCTCATTTCTGAAACACTAGGATTATAGGTCTGCCCAACTGGAGAAACTAATTTATAATGACAGAAAACCAAGGGCTGCTTTGTGGAAGGAAAGGTGACCTCAAAGAATATGAAGCAACTTTTGGGGCAACAGAAGTGTTGTAGAGCTCGATGAAGTATCTATTACATGAGTCTATTACATGCATATGTTGAGTACATCAAATTGGGAACTAGTTATCTGTCATTTGAGTACAGATTATACTAAAAACAAACTAAAGAGAGGTTAGTCATAAAAGACAAATCACAGAAGTGCCAGAGAATTCAAAAAGAGAAAAGAAGGAATTATGCAAAGCAGTGGTTCTCAAACTGTGGGTCAAAACTCCTTTGGAGGTCAAATGACTTTCACAGGGGTCACCTATAACTAGCAGGAAACACAGGTATTTACATTATGATTCATAACAGTAGCAAAATCATTGTTATTAAGTAGCAATGAAAATAATTGTATGGTTTGGGGTCACCACAACCTGAGAAACGGTATTAAAGGGTCACAGCATTAGGAAAGTTGAGAGCTACTGAAGTAAAGGGGTATTTTAAAAGGTAGGTTTTTTTTTTTCTGAGTTGTCATGAATTGATACATTCACTTCATTATTTGTTAATCAGTTTTGTAGAGACAGATGTCACTTTAACTCACATAACTGCAAGGACACAAGCAGGCAGAAGCTCATCCTGCTGGCTAAGTATACTCAGGGAACATTCCGTCCAGCATATTATATATTTTACAATCTCAAGGACCAAGGGCATGGAGTGAAAGGGTCAGGAGGAGCAGCAATTTGGTAGTTTGCAGGGCATACCACAGTACAGGTAAGGCTGGTGGAGCTCTGAGTGGGACAGGACAAGCTCACAGATGAGTTATTAAGAGAAGATGCAGGGTATGGAAGAGTAAAGCTAGAGCTGAGAGGAAAACAGCACAGTAGCTTCCTTTCAAGGTTCTCTATGTACAATGCCTGTGTTGGCACTTTACTTTCTTTTCATTCGGTCCTCCCCTAGGAGGAAACTGAGTCACAGGCAGCACCTGACAGAAGCTGTGTATGCTCTCGGAAGCCCACTTTCCTCTGCATAAGAAGTCATCTGAGGTGACATTGGCTCTGTGGCTCAGAATGGTATAAGGATGGCCAGAATAAATGAACTGCCTTCGCAGTAAAGTAAAAGAACAGGAAGAGTGTGATTGGGAGGGAGAGACAGACTGTATTCTCCTCAAATCTCACCATTCCTGGGTGGTGGAAAAACCAATATAAAAGATGCTGGTAACATGGCTCCTGAGCTATCTTCTCCTATGGTATCTTGCTTGTAGTTAAGGAGGCCCAATGACATTCTAGAACTCCTCCTCCTCCTCCTCCTCCTGCTTAGTTCCCAAAGACAGGCTTCTGAACTTTAAATGTCTGCAGGACTATCTGGCTGTGGGGCTGTAGATTCTCAGATTTGTATATTCTTTTCTTTTTATTTATTCATGATTCAGTCAGCATCTTCAATGGCTCTTTTTAATAATCTGCTGAATTCTCACAGGCTCTTCTTCATCCAAGGGAACCCAGAAACTGTCAAACCTGGAAACTGTCCGACAGTGCACTTGTGGGAGTTGCCAGGAACAATATAAGAAGTATCAGTAGAGCTGAAATGCCTCTAAACCAGTTCCACCCTCTGGGAGCAGGGTCATTTGCTAGTCCCAGTCCCATCCCTGCTAAGGATGCCAACTTTGGACTCCAAAATGTTTGTTATTTTAAGACAGAGTCTCATTGTGTAGCCCTGAGTAATGACTTGGATATCACTATGTAGACTAGACCGGCCTCAAACTCACAGAGATCTGCCTGCCTCTGCCTCCCAAGTACTAGGACTACTGTTATGTGTAGGATTATTTTATTTATCTGGGTAGGATTATTTTATTATTTGTTTTCTTTTTTTAATTTTTTGTAGCCCTGGCTGTCTTGGACTCATTTTATAGACCAGGCTGGTCTTGAACTCAAGATATCTCTTAATGATTGAAAGTACAACTATTTAGCATGAGTAAAAATAAAAGCATACCTAAATGTGTCCCAAAGACAAAGATTAAAATAATTAAAACTTGGAATCTGAGTGATGGTGGTGCTCGTCTTTAATCCCAGCACTCTGGAGGCAGACAGGCAATCTCTGTGTGTTCCAGGCCAGCCTGGTCTACAGAGTGAGTTCCAGGACAGGCTCCAAAGCTACAGAGAAACCCCGTCTCGAACCCTCCCCTCCAAAAAAAAAAAAAAAAAATTTAAAAACTGTAGAAATAAAACATGGGCATGGGCTCTTCCCTCCCCCCCCCCCCCCA